CTTCCAAGAGGGCCAGGATCTCTTCCTTGTTCTTAACTTCCTTCCCACCGGCAGTGAGGAGGCCACGCTCTTTGTAAATGGCTCCGTGGATGTGAGCGGTGGCGAAAGCATACCTGCTGTCGGTGTAGATATTAGCGGTCTTACCTTCTGCTAGACGCAGAGCCTGGATTAGGCCAATCAGTTCAGCTCGCTGGGCTGAAGTTCCAGCTGGCAACGCCTTCTGCCAGATCACCTTCGTCTCAGTGGTGACTGCCGCCCCTGCTAGTCGCCGCCCTTCCCGCATGAAGCTGCTTCCATCAGTAAAAAGAACTAAATCAGGCTTGTCATAGGCCTGGTCCCGTAAATCGGGTCGGGAACCAGTGATAGAGTCTAATACCCATGTGCAGTTATGGGTTATAGCTGCGTCTGGTAAGGGCAACAAGGTCGCAGGGTTCAGGGTGGTTGTTTTGACGAACTGCACAGCTGGAGGATTTAGGAGCTGAGCTTGATACTGAGTCAGTCGGGCATTCGAAAGCCATCTGTCTGGGGGTGCCCGTAAGACCTGCTCTAGATAGTGCTCTCCAATTACCTGAATGTCTTGGCCTAAGGTGAGCTTGCTTGCTTCTTTGACTAACACAGAGGTGGCCGCTAAGGCCCCTCAGACATGCTGGCCAGCCAGAAGCTACAGGGTCAAGTCTCCTTGATAGGTAGGCTACAGGTCTTCTCCATGGACCGAGCTCTTGGCACAGCACCCCTAATGCAGTTCCTTCTTTCTCGGCTATGAATAGTTGAAATGGCTTAGATAGGTCCGGCAGCGCTAGTGCCGGGGCCGCACGAGGGCCTCCTTCAGGGCCTGGAAGGCCCTTCTTGCCTCGCTAGTCCATTCAAACTTTTCTTCCTTTCCCCGAGTTAGCTGGTGCAGTGGTCGGGCCAACTCTGCAAAACCTAGGATCCAAAGCCGACAGTATCCTACTGCTCCGAGAAACTCCCGTACCTGTCTCTTGGTGGTAGGTTCTGGGATTTGTAGGACTGTTTGAATCCTCTGATTGGATAAGGTTCTTTGCCCATTCTGCAGGTTATACCCCAGGTAACTTACGGTTTGAGTCACAATCTGGGCTTTCTTGGCTGACACACGGTATCCCATCTTCTCTAGGTCTCGGAGTAGGTCCTTAGTAGCAGCCTCGCACTTCTCCGCACTCCTCTCCGCAATGAGGATGTCATCCACATACTGCAGGAGTACTGTCGTGGGGTGGGAGATGCAGAAGGCCTGCAAGTCCTTACCTAGGGCCTCACTGAAAATGGTAGGTGAGTTCTTAAACCCTTGTGGTAGGCGCGTCCAGGTGTACTGGCCTACTAACCCATTTTCAGGATCATTCCACTCAAAGGCAAAGATCTCTTGGCTTTGACGGGCTAGCGGTATGCAAAAGAAGGCGTCCTTTAAATCTAGTACCGAGTAATGAGTATGAGTCGGGGGCAAAGAACTCAGCAGGGTATATGGGTTGGGCACCGTGGGATGTATAGTCTCTACCCGCATATTTACTTCCCTCAGATCTTGAACTGGCCGGTAATCCGCCGTCCCAGGCTTTTGTACTGGTAACAAGGGAGTATTCCAGGCTGACTGACACTCCCGTAGAATACCTGCTTTTAGAAGTCGCTTAAGGTGTTGGGCGATCCCCCTGCCGTGCTCGGCTGGGTACTGGGTACTGTCTCACCCGAATAGGGCTGGCAGTGCTTTTTAGCTGGACTAGCACTGGAGGTTGGTGGAGTGCTAGGCCTGGTGGATTAGTCTCTGCCCAGACTCCGGGAATCTCAGAGAGGAGGGTTTCTGGTACTCCTTTCTCCTCCTTACCTTCCTGGAGGGTTGCCAGCAGGTATTCTTCTGAGAGTGGCACAGTTACCTCTACCCGGGCAGGTCCTGGAGTATTGGTCCCTGGCACCTCAGTCTGTTTGAAAGTGATGGTGGCCTGAAGTTTCTGCAATAAATCTCTCCCGAGCAGTGGGTAGGGACAATCCGGAACCACTAGGAATGAATGGGTTATGGTGCCCAGCCCCAAGTCTGTGACCCTTGCAGTAGTCCATGGGTAAGATTCCTCTCTGCCAGTAGCCCCTATGATCTTGGTAGTTGTCTTTTGTGCCTTTCCTTGTGGTTGCTTTAAGACTGAAAAAGTGGCCCCCGTGTCTACTAGGAAATTTATTGGCTTCCCTTCGACGTTCAGAGTGACCATGGGCTCCTGGGGGCCAACTGGTATAGAGCCCCGGCCCCGTCAGTCTAAAGTCTGAAGCAGGACGGGGGTCCTTTCCTCTAACACGGGTGGCCTGGCTCTGCGTTTAGGGCAATCTCGTTTCCAATGTCCTATTTCCTTGCAGTAGGCACATTGATCTTTGTTTAAGGGGCCCGCCGTTGCTGGGCTCCATCCCTACCTTTCTCCCTCCGGCCAGGTTTCTGAGCTGCTATGAGGATCTTGGCTACTTCCTTTGCTCTACCTATCTCGGGGTCATCTCTGTTCACATAAACTTTCTGAGCAATTTCTAACAGCTTGCTTAGGTTTTCTTCTTCAAAACCTTCAATCTTCTGTAGTTTCTTCCTAATATCTGACGTCGCCTGTGTGACAAAGGCAATATTGACAAGCCTGCGATTTTCTGGCGCTTGGGGGTCTAGGGGGTATACACCCGGTAAGCCTCTAGAAGCCTCTCTAAATATGCTGCTGGGGATTCCTCTCTCCCTTGGGTGACCTCACTTACCTTACTGAAATTGGTTGGCTTTCTGGCTGCTGCTTGTACCCCCCTCAGGAGAGCTCAGCGATACTGGAGTAGAGCTTCCCTCCCCGCACTTGAATTTGGGTCCCAGTCCAGAGGCTGGTTGGGGAGTATATCCCCAACCCCCCTCCGGCTTCCTCCCAGCCCTCCTTCTTCTTCCCTTACGGCCTTTTCGGCCTCTCGAAGGATTCTCTCTCTCTCTTCAGAGGTGAAGAGAGTTTGGAGTATCTGTTGGCAGTCATCCCACGTAGGCTGGTGGGTCCTAAAAACGGTCTCTAGAAGGGAGATTAAGCCCTGGGGCTTTTCAGAGAACGGGGGATTCTGAAGTTTCCAATTATATAAATCACTGGTAGAAAAAGGGACATAAACTAGACGAGGGGGATGAAAGGCCGGGGCATCAGGGCCCGGCGGCACCTCCCGGAGGGGCAAGATGTTGGCCCCTCCCACTGAGGGGTTCACTACCCCCGGCCCGGGAAGCGGGACGCCTGATATGGGAAACTTTGAAAAACCTCTGTTTAACCTTTATTTGCCCAGGCCCCAGGCGCCCTGGGGAGAATGATGGGGCTGTCTAGGATAAGTAAACAACAGTGCATTAGCTAGGACTGAGATTAACACCCCTGCTGTTAAAACTGACCCTCAGGTTTGGCCTTTGTCCTCTGCTTCTGCCCCTTAGCTAGAACTAATTGCCGCATTCCACTTCTGTATCCCGCCTTGCCACGTAGACAAGAAGACCCTGTAAACTATAAAAACCCCAGGAATCCTTTGTTCATTGCTCAGAATTTGGAAATGATTCCTCTGGGCCCGTGCACGTTAAACAATAAACCTCGTACTCCAAAATCCCTCGGTGTTTGGTCGCTTCATTTCCCACAACACGCCGACCCCTCCCACTGAGGGGCTCATCGCCCCCGGCCCGGAAGCAGGACGCCGACCCCTCCCACTGGGGGGTGGGGCGCCCCGTATAGGGTTCCCCTCCTTGTACCTCCTTGTGTGCGGGGGGACTCATCAACTCCTCCCCGTGGTGGAGTCGGGTTGCCGGGTAGGATTGTACGGAGGCGGGGCAGTTGGGGCTAGTAGAGAATCCTCTGGCTGCTCTGGCAGTACCGGATATAGACGGGGCTTCCTTTGTTCCTGCTCTTGGGGAGGAGTTTTCTCTCCGGGATTTACTCGGGGCTGCCTTTGTTTCTGCTCCTTGAGAGGAGTTTTTCTCCCCCCTCCTGGCCTTTGTCTAGCAGCTACACAGACGCTCTGCCGCATCCTATTTCTGCCTGACTGACAACAGCGTATGTACCTCGGTCGTTCGGTAGCTATATCTACCCATACATCTATATAAATCATCTGATCTGGATGGGGCACTCTGTAAACCACCCCTTGAACGGCATAGAGAAGGGGAAGGTTAAAAGTCCCTTCAGAGGGCCATCCTACGTCAAAGGCTGGCCATTCTAACTCACTGAAGGTCCGGAGAGTCTCAGGATCTGGAGGTGGCCCGCCGTACCCTCGGGCCCGCTTCTGAAAATCAGAAAAATTATTCAGAAGGCATTCTAATGCATTACTCGGTGCTGAGCCTCCTTGTCCCATCTTTGATTTCCGACGCGAGACGTCAAGAGTCTCGAGACCTAGTAGTGATATGAGAAACTTTGAAAAACCTCTGTTTAACCTTTATTTGCCCAGGCCCCAGGCGCCCTGGGGAGAATGATGGGGCTGTCTAGGATAAGTAAACAACAGTGCATTAGCTAGGACTGAGATTAACACCCCTGTTCTGTGTCCTTGGAGCCCTGAACTGATAGGAGCCTTTGAACCCTGCCCCGTACTTATCGCATCTGCTTCTGCCCCGAACCTTTCCTTGAGCCCCCCTAGAAACTAACTTCCGCATTCCGCTTCTGTATCCCGCCTTGCCACGTAGACAAGAAGACCCTAATCTATAAAAACCCCAGGAATCCTTTGTTCATTGCTCAGAATTTGGAAATGACTCCTCTGAGCCCATGCATGTAAAATAAACCTCGTACTCCAAAATCCCTCGGTGTTTGGTCGCTTCATTTCCCACAACATTTGGTTCCCTGACCGGGAAGTCGCGACCTCACACTAATTCAGGCCTTTTGTCACCGTCTGGAAACGCCGGGAGGCGGCCGCAGGACCAACTGGGGAAAGCGGGGGTGCACGTGCCCTGAGATTTCTTAGGCCCCGTCCGGTTGGGGCGGCGGCCGCTGACCCGCACGGCCAGGCGGGAAGTGAGGGATCTTGGACTACGACTTGTTAAGGCCTTGATTGGAGGCGCCAAAACTTGGTGAGTGCCCCGGGGACTTGTCCCGAGACTGGAAGAGGCTGATCACCTCTCATTGGAACCTTGGGTTGGATGCATTCCGACCACTCGAACCCTTCTCGGGGGGTTTTGTCCTGAGTTTAGGTGGGATCCATACCGGGTTCCACAACTTGACCCCGTACTCAGGGGGGTATTGTCCTGAGTTTAGGTGGGATCCATACCGGGTTCCACAACTTGACCCCGTACTCAGGGGGGTATTGTTTAAACTCGGAGTGCTTGAGCGTGAAAGTGTGCGAGACTGTGTTTGTGGCTCCACGGGCTGGTCCTACGGAGCAAGAGTGGGTCCCAACCTGCGGTTCCTGTGTCAGGTCATACGGCATAACGGTTGGCAGCTAACCCCGAATTCTGCTGGGGCAACCTTAGCCAAGACCGACTTCGTCCCGCGAGGGAGCAGGCCAGGCGGACGAGCGAATCTACCCCACCCTTTGTGTGTCCACGTCGTGTGGGGCTCGGCAGGTATGAGTGAAAGAGCTGAAGTTGTGTGAGAACCGCGGTTCGCCTGTGTGAGAGGAGAAACTGTATCTGTGCAGTCTTTGTTTGTCACGGCTATGTCATTGTCTGTGAGTTTCTATGTCTAATTTGTAGAGAAAAAAAAAAAAAAACGCGCGCCAGCTGGGTCCGCAGGTGCCGGAGCCGAGGAATCTGACTGGTTGAAACAAAGCAGCACGGAGGCCGCGCCGGTGTTGACGAGATGAGTATTCTGTCCCCAGAGTTCTCCCAGTCGGCAATGCTGGGACCCTCGCTCGCTGATTGGAAAAGCGCGCACACTTCTCGCGTCCCCGCACCCCCTTCTCTTCCCCTTATCGGCACCCCAGGTGGCGGGGCGGGGGCGGGAGGCTGTCTCCTCAGGACAGACGGGATTGCCGAGGTGCTGGGTCGCTCCTCCGAGCGATCGCTTCCCCCTCCCCAGCCCCGGAGACAGGGTCGGAGGGCGGGAGCCAGGGGCCTGGCGGCTGGGGGGGCAGGACAGGCAGTCCCCAGTGTGCAACGGGCTGGTCGAACTGTCTAGCCTAGAGCAGGAGGTTTCCCTGCTAGCGGGAGACCTGGATTTTCTTTGGGAGTGCTATACTGTAAACCCCCTCCCCGTCCGTGCTGACTTCGGTGGCTGGCAGCCCTTCCCCCACAGGCTACTGCGGGGGAGATTTGGAAGGCTGACTAGGGCGGCAGCCCCGCTGGCTGTTTCCTAGCAACGGGTAGGGTTTCAGCCAGTGGGCGGGGCTGATGGCAGGCACTGAAGTGAGTTTTCTGCTGCCGCAGCTTGAGGCGTGAGGAATTTTAAGTTCTAAAATGTTTGCCAGTGAGGACCTTGTAATTCGACTGGTCTGGCAATTGTGAGACGAGCTCATCATACTTTAAAAGAGTCTTGAGCCTTTCCTCCCCGAGAGTGATTTATTGGCCATTTTAACTCTTAGCTCGGAGAGGGGAGTGTGCTGTTTGCCTTTCTGAATGACCTTTAGCCATCCAGATTTCTCCAAGCTGTGTGGAATTCCAACCAGCGCCCCTGGAGTGGTCACCTAAGAGAGACTTTTAAAGAGACTAAATTAATGCTGCAAACAAGCAAGAGTGTTTTCAGATTCTTCATGCTGAAAGTAACTTTGTAAAGTCTGTGCTAATTCTTCCAAAATTGAAATGTAACCAAACCTGTTACTTTTATGTATCCCATGTGTTTATATGATTTTTCAACTGACTAGATTTAAGAATTTGAGCTGTAACAACCCAGAAATGCCTTAATTAATTCCTGTTTGTACTCTATAATGTATATAGAAATTGTTCCTTGTAATTGCATTCGAGAATAACAAATAGCAGATTTCACAGGCCTATTTTGATTTGATTTTATAAACAAGAGTAAAGAGATATTGCTAACCGCTCTGATTGAACGTACCGCTGCCCTTAGGGTCTGGGGGCGGGAGACGACCTCTGGAGTGCAAGACTCCCTGGTGGCAGGCACTGCCTTGGGTTTCTCTCCCTGCCCCCCAGAGCTTGGTCAGAAGTCGGCAGCGGGTGGGACTCCCCCCAGCTTTGACAAAGCCCTGAGTCCCCGTATATTCTGGGAGAAGCGCTTTCTGACTTTGATCTCCTTAGGCCTGAATGCCTACTGGGGAGAGGTGCAACTCCCATGCCTTGCTAGAATTAGGAAAAATTTGGCGTCACAAAGGCTTGCTAATGAACCTGTGAAGTCTGCTAAGAGTGCTTTCATTCATATGATAAGAGTCCGAGGGGTCCTAGTGTGTGGGAGGCTTAGATGGAGCCGCTGGGACGGCGGATGGGCTGCCTCTGGATTGGGAGCAGGCTTGGGACCTCGTTTGCCCCTTCCCTCTGGTGCCCCTCGGTTGTCCCTGCTCCCCTGCACACTGGCTCGGCCACTGGGGCATGCTCTGAGCTAATTCCTGTCATCTGTCTATGTAGGGGAGCTGACCTGGGTGTCCTGGCTTCCCATGACTTTGGCATGGACTGCCCTGGTTGTGGATAGGTTCGGGGTTCCCTCCGGGGGGGCCGGCCGGCTCCGAAGGTCGGCCATTCTGGGGTACAAAACGTTTCTAGCTGCAGCAGTCAGGTTCTCTGTGTAACTGGTTCTGATAGGAATCGCTTTAGTTTTGGAAGTCATCAACTGAGATCCAAGAGTGACCACCTGATGTATAGGGTATGGTATTTGCAAGGTCTAGGCTTCAGAAGGTTTGAAAGGAATGTGCCTGCAAATCTAGAGACTTTTAGTAAAAGATACCTGAAGTACTAGGGATTTTTAGCTGCCGCATACTGAGTTTAAGCAGTGAGTTTAACTACAGCCTTTCCCAGTGTGGGAAAGAAACCAAGATTAAAAGAAAGTGATAGTTAGATCTAAATGAGCAGAAATATGTACAGAGGATATGAAAGTTTTAAACCTGGAGTAAAGGAAACCTCAACTACTTGTTTTCTAATTTCATGGGAAAAGCAAATTTCTCACATGTGGTTCTGTTTCTAATCAGAAACCTGTGTTTTAAGACCTATTGAAGGTCACCTGAAGACCTAAGGAAGGTCACTGTAACCGGTTGGGGAGAATGCTTTTGCCACCTGGGACCCAGGAGGGTCATTTGGGGCTGATAAGTGTTTCAGCCTGAGGCAAAGAGCATGTCTCTGCCATGAGACCGGATTGGAAGAGAGCAAGTCTCTGCCATTGGTTGCTTCTGATCAGAAACCCTGTGTACCTGAAGACCGAGGAAAGGTCACCTGTAGCCGGTTGGGGAGAAGGCCTTTGCCACTCGGGACCCAGGAAGGGTCAATTGTAGCTGATGAGTGTTTCAGCCTGAGGCAAAGCAGCATGTCTCTGCCAAGAGACCGGGCCTGAAGGAGCATGTCTCTGTGAGGCACCAGTGGAAGCACTGGTGCAAGAGAATGTCTCTACCTGTATTGTTTCAGAACTCTGTGTTTTAGGATTTTGCTCTGTATCTACTCTGAAAAAAAAATTGAGGATTCCAAGAAAGGTTGAAACTTCATACTCTGTAAAAAAAAAAAAGTGAACAAAAGAACGTATAAGATATAAAAATGAAGAAGTATATAAAAGGATATAGAAGTTTTTGAATATTGCTGAAGGGCTATGAGAAGCTATGAAGATAGAAGAGGGTGTATAAAAGGTTGTAGAAGTTTGCAAAAGTTTGGAAAGGAATTATATAAAGTTAGTAATAAAAGGTATAAAGCATAGAAATACAATCTTAGTAAATATCAGAAGGGAAAAAGATTTTCCATTATGCTTTATATTTTTCTCCCTACCTGAACCCTTCAGAAATTGGCATTCTGAAGGAATAATGACACTATAAGGTTTCTTTGCATAAGACCAGTAAGACCAACCATTAATAGTAGTTTTGTTAACCAGGACTTTGACTGGAATGTCACGCCTGAAGAAGGCATATAGGTTCTGGTCATTACCAGAAAGCTCAGAGGAACTAGGATTGACCTGTGAAGCTAGTGAAAGCCCACAAGAAAAGCCTGGTACTTTGGTTAGTTGTGTGGTTCGTGCCAGTCTTTCCAGGGGAGGAATGAAGGTTGCTTTCCTGAAAGATGGCTGAAAAGGAACCTGTAAGCACAATGGACGCTCAAGGATTTGAGTGAAACAACTGGTACAGGCAAGGCCAGATGTGTGGCGCTGCTATGCCCTGAGAGGCAGATTGAAAAGTCAATCTAAGAGTTCCCTGGGTGAGTATATGGGTTCCAGCAAAGCAGACTTAAGGATCACAAGTGATCCAGGCTGCTCTTGGTGTGTTTATGCAAACGAACAGTCAAAATCAAAAGCGGGACCCAAAGTAGTCCCTGTAATAACAGTGAGGGTAATCCTAAGGAGAAAAATTATAGTTCAAGGAAAATCACAGTGCTCAGCATTAGACATCAGAATGGTACAGCTAACTGTCTTGAAAATTTGCTCTCATTTGAAAGTTAAAACCAGGTTTGTGATGTCACCAAAGATGTACAATTTACAGGTGCAAAGGACCTTGTCAAATTGCCACTGTTAAATGTCATTGTAGGAAGGACCTTGCAATAGAGTGTCTTCCCAAAAGACAGTCTCACAGGCGCAGAGACTAGTTTGGGGATAGTTATGCCAATTAACCTGTGTATTCTTCTGTTTTCATAGGGCCTATGCCTATGACTTGCCTATGCCTATGAGAAATTAGTGGCAAGATGGGCCTCACTTAAGGAGCCCATCTCCATCATTGCCCCACTGAGACTCAATGGTTTGGCTGAACTAAGTAGTTGGGTTAGTAAAAGACTGGGGCAGTTTATGGGCTTCACTTTAGAACTAATTTTCTCTTTTCTGTCTTGATAGCTTGGACAGAAAGGGCTCAGAAACCTGAAAGGAGGGAACTCCTAATCGTTACTGAAGTGCCTGCCATTGTCAATTAATAGTTATAATTAAATTGTGCTTCCAATTTCTTGCCTAATCTGTCACCTCCAGAACATGACCTGACCAGAATGACAGCGGTCCAGTAATGCCAGCCTCTGGACACCAAGCCTGCGATGTCCGGGTGACAGCCAACTGACCAGGACCCTGTGAGGTCTTTCCCCTTACAGGAAAGACTCCCTCCGTGCTGCTCCCCTTCAGGGCACCCCAACCCAAGGGTAAATGAGACAGCGTCCATTTCCAGCTTAGAAGAAGTTACAAGAAGATGAGACCTCCGTCCCTTTTCCTTTATATAATTATGAAGTAGGTATAAATCTAAAAGGAAGAATATTGATACAGAGTGCATCCACGGGGAGCCCCAGAAAAGATTTAGGATGAGATCCAAGGTTCGGGGTATCCAAGAGATATTGAGGTATACTCACCACTCCCCGGGAGAGGGGGACGAATAGAGCGGGGCCATTGAGAGATATTGTACATAGCAACAGGTTTGCAGCTGACCTCTAAAGTAATTATTTGACATATAGCTTTTAACTAGTTTCATAGATATATTGAATAGTATGGCCAGACTTAGAACTAAGGAAATAAAGTC